AAACATATCAAATTTCAACTCGCTGTAATTTATCTCCTGTTTCACCGATTGCCATCGGGTTTGTTTGTAAGTGGGGAAGAAATATGACACTTTCAAGCGAAGTGAGTAGAACTTTTGCACTACTGCGAGAAAATTTGTCAACCGACCCCGCGTTACCCCCTACCGCGAAAGTCAATAAACGTTAATTGTTTTATGACTCTATTTTCAACACTTCTTTTCTGAGTTGTAAATCGACTAATTGACAAAGATTTTACTTCATTTTACTCATAAGAATGTTGTCTTTATGATTTAATGGATAGTTTCGTAAGATTTTTAGACATAAATTTTATTTTTAATTTTTTATCTGATATAGTCGTGTGTTAAGCTTAACTCGATCACCATTTTCAAAAATTGACGTCGTTCAAAATATCATAGAATCCATCAAAATTATTCGCTCTTAATTTAGTTATAAATGTTTTCTCTGCATGAAATGAAGCGATCGAAAAAATAATGGGTGGACCATCAAAAATTCGGCAATTTACGACATGTTGTCGATTCTATAATCTGTTTTCTTCATAATATAAAATTTTTACAAAATAATACTTAAAAAATACATCCATGTCAATATCTGAATGTTATAAAAATGCAATTATAAAAAAATTTTGTAATTTTCACAATTTGTATTATCATAATTTATTTTTGTTTTTTTCTGTCGCGCGACAAAAAAGTCGTAACGCGATTAAACGCAGCGATTTCATTTATAATTACTTAAAATTCANAAGGGGTTCTTCCTTCACGGGATCGCCTTCGGGAATAGCGGATGTCGACAGCATTCTCTGTTCCGCGTTGAACGGAGAGGAGGCATTTCGTCATTCGAACATGTTCCGAAAGGTGAAATGTCTCCTTGTTGACGACATCATCTTTGCTGCACTGGGAGGGGAGAATGTTTCAATCATTCCTCCCTTTTCCAACGAGTGGGATCCTCTCGTTCGGTGTGGGCAAAGATGGAAAGGAAAAAGCGTCGCTTCGTAAAAGATGCGAACGACTTTTTCTTTTGCTATTTTTTCTGAAGGATATTACTAACCTAGGATAAGAAGGAAAGAGGTTTTTTTCGTTTGTTTTTCCTCTTGTCATACTTACATTTACTAATTTAGGATAAGAAGGCAAGAGGTTTTTTTATTTTTTTCCTCTTGTCATAATAACATTGAAACTAAGACCTTAAATTTAATTTACTAATCTAGATGTAAGAAGACAAGGGGTTTTTATTTTTTTTCTCCTTGTCGTACTCACACTAGTTTAGTAATTCACATCCACGCACGTAAACAACAACATCCCTCACACTGAAACACAGTTCGAACAACGACACATTCGTCGCATCCAATCACCAACCATTCCACTCGCGTGCATTATAAACAACACCGTTTCACAACACGAACACGCTTCCCTAAAACTGGGTCCACGTCCCGGGAAGCGGTAACATCGGTCGCAACGGCCGATGGCCAAAGAGGCTCTGGTAACAATTTACTTTTGATATTAAAATCTGAATTTGAATTGTTATAACGAAATCATTTACTTGTATCCAAATGCTGTTAGATCTGTTTTTCTGAAATGTAAGCTGTTAAAGTGATCTCCTTATAGAAAAACGCTGGCGGATTGTGGATTTTTGGGTTACTGGCGACCCACGTGGCCAGGGTCGGTTCTGGTAAATGTGCAGTTAAATTTAAAAATTGAAATTCAAATATAATTTTATATTATTTTAATCTGTTAACGTCTTATGATTAAGTTTAAGGTCACACTTACATAACTCATTGTGAATGGTTGCATTAAATAACATAAGGTATTATTGTTTGATTTTCATTGCAAATGGGCCTTTATTCTCTTTACTAATACTTACACCATTGTTATAATTGTTGACAAAACCCAAAGTTAACCAGCGATTTATTGTTGAGCTGCAATTTTTAATCTCCTTTAAGTTATTTGATAGGTGTAAAACAGTACTTAGTTTTAGTCTTGTAGACTTCATAAAGATATGTTTTGAAAATTAAAGACATTATAATCAGTGCAGTGATGCCTTCTGATGTCACCGTTAACAAGTAAAGGTTATATTAGATTGAACAGAAAGTTTCAATGGCTGTGGTTATCTGAAATTAATGTGTTTTTTAATTATAACAGTTGTGAAATTTAATACTTCATTCTTGCTGATGTGAGATATTGTTCTTTGTTTTAGAATGTTTAGTTTAAGTTAAATATTACTAGGTTAAAAGTAAATGTTACGTGGTGTTCCTACCTTTCTATATTTTGTCTTTGCTTTCATGTATCTAAACTCAGTTCTAGAGACTAAGGAAGGCCAGACAGACGACAGTGGGAATATATAGGTCTACGGTTTTTTCAAATTGCAGCTCAATTTAAATAAACAGAGAAATGAGCACCAACGTTGTTAATTTAAATAAATTTTCATATACACATACATATGCAGTGATGACATTCGAAATATTTAACAAAGGGTTCGCTAACAGAAAATTTTTCCTTAACAATTTTTTTTTCGCTCAAATGGTGCATCGGAAGCCTCTAGTTTAGTAGTGTTACAGAGTATAATACGTACATTTTAATATTTTTAAAAGAATCAAACCATTGAGAAATGTTACATGTGTTTAACAAGGTTCTGAAAACTTTGAAAATGTTAACAACGGGTTCGGCCGAACCTGTGCGAACCCGCTGAATATCACCACTGTACATATGTATTATATTTATATACTAAATAAGAAAAATTTCATTTTAATTTGCAGCTTCTATTTTATGACAGTGCAGAAATATAACTTTGAACAAAGGTGCCTATTATCAACGGGGAGGCTTGATTTGAATAAAATTAAAATTAATATATATCAAATATTTTAATGGATTTTTTTTATTTACCCGTCTACATGTAACTATCATAAATCATACTACTGATAGTAAAGTCTTATGGGTTGGTTTAGATTTTGAATTTACTCACAATCAGCATTGTAGGGGCAGCCAAATATGTGTAGCACGCAGGTGGCTAACAGTCCAAAACATGCCCTGGTGGCATCGGCAAGAAGAAATTCTACTTGCAGGTCAACATCCGCCTCTCACATACTGTAGTATTTTCCATTATCAGAAATTGCTTCAATATTGTATTACAACAGAAACTAAATTCATTCCACATTTAATAAATGTTCTAAAATCCGAAACACGAAAAAATAATGTCCTCGGCATAATGCCACGCTACAAACTATTAATTAATCATACTGTTTATCTCGGTTCCAAGGGTGGTCACCTTAAGCAGGTCCTACTGTATTTCTATTTTCACATAAAATTTCAAATTATATATCTGCAAAGACTTTAACTAAGTATGAGTTTAATAAACCTTAAATAGTTTATCCTGTTATTAATCCACAACCATAAATCTATGTGGCTTTCAAAAAAAATAAGAAGTTATTATTTATTTATTATTCATTAACAAATCCTGTATAATCCATGTACAAAAGCATATATTTATTAAATTTCCTGAACTTTATAAAATATTAATAAACTGGGGAAAAAATGATTAATTGTTTTGTACTTTGTAAATTTTTTTGGTGAATACTGGGATCCTGAAAATATTCTGCGCCTCTTTTCATAAGTTGTATTGAACATTACTTTTCTGTCTGCTGATGGCTAAAAAATTTAACAAGGCAGCAATAGAAGCAATTTCCCTGACTTTCCAGGTGTGTAGGAACCCTGTACAAAAATGAAAACAAAATGTCAAACAGTCACTTGGTACATCCAGTAAATCTATAAAGAAATTTGATTATTTTTTTAAAATTACTTTCGTACGTCTGTGCCAACATTTGATAAATTATTGATTCGTCTGTACAATACATTACTTCATTCGTGTAGATCGCGTGGCCTTTGATAGTTTGTCGACATAATTTTGTTTTTGTGTTTACTTCCTCGTACCATTACGCAATCATAATTAAGCTAATATAGGTGACATGAAACATTCAAACTAAACTTAGCTAGAATAAACTATAAATTACTAGTTTGCATATCATTAGCATATATTATTTTAGTACATTGTATTTGGCAGACTTAATGCCTGCGATTCTTGCGAAATTTCTGGTAACCCGCATTCAGAAAAGATTGCTCATTACTGCTTTAGTTCCTCAAAAATGTCCCCTAGTTGGTCGTAGTAATGAGTGGCACTTTAACAACTTCTCAATGTTACTTTTGTTGAACTGGCAGGAATATAAAGTTCGCGATTTTATTTTGAAACTGTTAACATATCAAAATCATCAAGTATCTAAATCTCAGTAAAGATTTAAATTTTTAAATTTCTAAGCCCAATAAGTACAAAACACTGGTTCAAATTTTTGAAAGTTTAATTAATACAGCAGTTTGGTTTTTGTATGTAAAAAAATTAAGTTAAAATATTTTTTTATTTATTGTTTTAATCAATGTTATATTAAATAAAATGCTAACTGCAANGATCGATGCAGTAGAGTACCTTTTAAGTAACTAGCCGGAGGTTCTACCTTCTCCGTTACAAATGGGCCCTTGGCCGCCTCCTTGGCCAAGTGATCGGCACATTCGTTGCCCTGGATACCGATGTGACCGCGTACCCATCTCAGGTCAACTTGTCGCATGTGCCTCGCCCTCAGTACCCTACCTCTGATCTCGTGTACCAGAAGGTCTCTGTGGTACCCGTCACGTAACGCCTGAAGTGACGACTGGCTGTCAGAGTACACCGTGACAGCCTCTGGACCCGGATGGAGTAGGATCCACTGGGACGCTCCCGAAAGAGCCACCAGTTCGGCTTGAAACACGGTCGCTTCCTCGTTCAGTCTGACTGACGAACTGTACACTAAGGCTCCGTTGTGGTAAACGCAGTAGGCTGCGCCCACTTGGCTGCCGTCTTTGGAACCATCGGTATATATTTCAATACCGCTTAGAGTCGGTTCACCGGCTTCCCAATCGATGCCCACCCTTAGGCTTGGGTGGGTACTCCATATGTCTGCCTGACATGAGAGTTTCATCGCTGGGTACATCTGGTTGCAGTGCTTTGCCTGTAAGCCCTCCACCGCGACCCTAAAGAACGCCGCCTCCTGGCTGACTACTAGGGGCAGCGGGAGAAGCCCTGCCAGGGCTAGGGCCGCGTCAGTGGATACCGTTCTGTAAGCACGTGTGACCCGTAGGGCAGCGGGCCTTTGGATAGTAAGTAGGGTCTTACTTTGTTTTACGTTGGCAGACTCCTTCCACCAGATACCACAAGCATAGCAGATCATGCGCTCCAGGGCCATCTTGTAGATAGCCCGGATTGCTTCTCCGCCTATGCCGTACTCCTGCCTCGCCAGTCGCGATAGTCCCGCTATCGCTCGATTCGTCTTGTCTCGGACAAACCTGAGGTGCGGCGTCCAACAAAGGGATTGGTCAATGATGACACCTAGGTACTTAAGCTCGCTTACCCTTCTGATGGGGTTGCCCCTTATTCGGTAAATTGGCTGACGTGCCAAAATTCCGGTACGGGCCACCGTCAGGGCCTCCGATTTCTCGGGGCTGAAGGTCAGTTTATGAGACTGTCCCCAGCAAGCGAGCCGTTCTATGGCTTCGTTGCCTTGGCGCTCCATCTCGCGCCGATTGGTACCGGCGACTACTATTAACAGATCATCCGCGTAGGCCTGCAGCTGGACATCGTCTGGCATGGCGAGTCTCAGCGCCGTGTCGGCAAGGACGTTCCAAAGGAGGGGTCCTATGCATGACCCCTGGGGACATCCCCTCTCCAGTTTCCTAACATACCTAGTTGTCGGGGTGACATAAATCACTTCACGTTCGCGAAGGAAACTTTTGACTGTGGAGTAAAGGGTGGAGGGCAGGTTCGCACTCCGCAACTCACCCACGATGGAAGGCCACCAGACATTGTCGAACGCCCCCACAACATCCATCGAAACGAGCGATGTGTGGAGGCCCTGCTGGCGGTTCTGACGAATCAGGTTGACCGCACGGTGTAGCGCTCTGCAGGTCGACGTGTCCGGGCGGAATCCATATTGTTGTGGGTGTAGGAGCCCTTTGCGTTTCAGATGGTAAAACACCCGGTCTGATAGGATTCTGTCTAAAACTTTCCCCAGGACTGGCAATAGGCTAATTGGTCTATATGACTTTGGTTCGTCCTTCGGGCGCCCGTTCTTATGGATTAACACAAGTCGCGTCCGTTTCCACTCTACTGGGAAGTGACCCAGGAGTAGACACTTCTGATAAACGTCACGGAGCAGGTCTGGTTGAGTCTGATAAAGAACCTGTACCATTTCGGCCGTGATCCCGTCGAGGCCGGGTGCCTTCCTCAGCCTTAGGTTGCCGATGGTGTGGGCAACCTCAGAGTCGGACACCGGCACGGGCATCTCGGCCTCAGGAACGGGTGACTCCGCTTCTCGGCGAAGCCTCCTCTGTTCCTCAGTGTCATCATGCTGCTCATCTCCTGGGAAGAGAGAGCGGAGCAGTGTAACCACAGTCTCCTCCTGACTGGAGGTCGTGGTCCCGTCTGGTTTTCTGACAGGTCCCAGGACTGTACCCCTCTTGGCCTTCCCCACCACCAGCTTATAAGGCAAGTGGAAAGGATTCTCTGCGCTAAACTCCTCACAGAACTTGAGCCACGAGGCTTGTTTTGCACTATTCATCTTGTACTTGTACTCGGCATTGGCTCTCTGGAACTCCAGTTTCCTAGTTTGCCGAAGGTCTTGGTCACTGCATCGTTGGAAGCGTCGGCGGAGCGCCCTCGTGCGTTTCCGTAGGACACTCAGTTCCTGGGTCCACCAGGGAACTGACCGGTGTGTGGTGGGCCTCCTCCGCAGGAGCGTGCGATCCGCAGCTGCTCTTACTGCGTTGGTGATGTCTGCCACGACCACTTCCAGGTCCTCGACACTCTCAACCTTAGCGACTTGCGATACGAGTTCCGCTGTCTTTTCTTCGAGGCATTTGCTAAAGCGGTTGCGGTTTTGGACAGTCAGTTTATAGCAACTGTCCAGCTGGATGGGCCGGCCGCCTGTCACCTGGTAAGTGACAAAACGATGGTCGCTACAACTTTCCGCCTCCACCGTTTCCCACTGGTCAACAGATCTTAGCATTGCGCCCGTGCAGATGGTAAGGTCAATCCAGCTTTTTCCGGTTGGTGAGGAATAGGTTGCTATCCCCAACGGGTTGTTGAGGACATGCATCCCCCATCCCTCTACCACCTCCTTCAAGATTCTCCCGGGCAGATCGTCCGTAGGGGAGCCCCACAGCTGGTGCTTGGCGTTGAAGTCGCCAGCCAAGACAACACGGTCGCGGGACTGGACAATCTTTCCGAGGTCCTCAAGAAGGTCGTCTATAGGGCTAGACGGTGGGGAGTAGCAGGAGACCACGACCCAGTTAAAGGTGGGTAACCGTATTTCGACGGCTACCATGAGTCGTGATGCACAGACAGCATACGCCTCGATCTCTCGTCGTGTGACGACGACGGCAGTTCTACACTCGTCGCCTTCCTCGGCAAAGATGCTCCATTGTAGTGATAAGCCACTAACCTTTCCTTGTACAAGATACGGTTCCTGGAGCAGGATGATGTCCACCTCCCGCTCCGCTACTTCCACCCGTAGTTGGGCGATAGCAGCGCGGCACTTTTCAGCGTTAAACTGCATGACTCTGCAGTCTTGCACTGTATCCAAGTGTGTAATCGGATCGAAAGCTATGTCGTGCTTTACTGACCATAATCTGTCCGGGCCTTAACTCGCTCGAGTTCCCGCAGGTAACACGGGCAGTTGGCACTCATTGAAGAGTGTGTGGGGTCCAACTGAAGACCGAACTTACGGGCGGCCTTAGTGCAGTTAATGCACTTCGGCCTGGGTGCCTTACACTCCTTATAGGAGTGATCATCGGCACATTTGCTACACTTTTGAGCTGCCGATGGGCAGTTCTTAGCTACATGCCCGAAGGCATAGCATCGGTAGCACCGGGTACAAGCTATATATTCCCTTACCCGGTTGCGAGTCCAGCCCAAATGGACTCTCTCCTTCTGCAGGAGAGTGCGGTATACCTCAGGGGAGGTCTCAATAACCCAGTTAACGAGTCCTCCCTTTCCCTTAAGAGGGAAACGCGGCTGCAGTGCCCCCGGCTGCAACCGTATGCCATTTTGCTTGGCGAGAGTATCCACAAGACTTTCGCGGGGGACGTCCGGCGAGACGTCGAAGATGATGACGGTCGGTCTACGTTTCTGGGGCAGTCTGTGTGTGACAGCCTCTTTTAACGCGGCAGGACCTTCCGTCAACTCTAGTTGTAGCTTACGGAGCTCTTGTGGTCTTCTAACCTCTACAAGAACTCCATTATTCCGTATTCTACGGACGTTACGGACACCAATACCCAGCTTAAAGGGATCGATATGTTTTTGAAGCAAAGTCTTTACTTCATCGCTGCTCTTAGTTTTATCTTTCGGAAAGACCAAAAGTGAATGCTCAGTCTTTTGTACTAGACTTGCTATCGGGTTTTTGGTTGGTGGGCCTTCTTGGCTAGGCGTCACACGTACTGCTGCCGCGTAGGTCATTTTACTCGCGGCAGTCTTCTTGTTGTAAATAGGACTGACCTGAGGGGCAAGCGGCTTGCTTAAATTGGGAGCCTCTCTCAGTGTCCTTACTTCAGCCTGGAGGGAGGCGATCTCGACCTCCTGGGCATTTAAGACAGCAACGGCCTTGCTGAATATATGAAAAATGCTGGCACACACTGTCTTCTGACAGCGGTTGTCCGTTCGTCCGAGGAGCTTTGTCAGCTCCTCATGGACGCGGTCCAGCTCAGCCCTCCTGCTCTCTTGTGGGGAAGATGCAGGGGGGGTCTCCAGCCGTTTGATTATGCAGGGTGGGATCTACCCTGCTTTGCTTGGGAGAGGTTGTCGTCCCCTCCTTTGCAATGGTGATTGGCGCCTTCTTGGCAGCCTTCCCTTTACTGGAAGCGTTGGCCCTTCGCGCGCGGCGTCGGGCCCTTCGACCTCTGGAGGTGGAAGGCTTCTTCCACTCACCGCTGTCGGTATCAGAGGCGGTGTCAAACACCGTCTCTTCCCCAGAGTCCGAAGACGAGTCGCGCTCAGTCTTCTGCTCTGGGTGGTCGCTTGACGCGACCTCATTCCGTTTTCTAGTCTTGGCGGCCTTTTTGCCTTTCGGCTTAGGCGCCGCCTTCTCCTCTCCCTGGCCATTTCCGGAAACGCAAGCGTCCTTCCGGGTGGCCTCCACTCCCTCATTACCAATAGCATTGATATCCGGCTGACTGTCGGGGATCAGCACTTCCTCATCACTTGCACACGGTGAGTTAGCCAACGAAACACGTTTAGCACATACTGTATCCATTGTCAACATAAAGGTAAGAAAGAGAAATTGGGGATTGGGGTGATCCCGACTTTTCACGGGTGCCCTGAATCCGTTCGGGAATCAAAGTATGCGTTTAAGAGCCAGCTCTGACTTCGGACTTACTGAGGGCTCATTTTGGCTCTCTTATTGCCAGGTCGTCACTGCTTAGCCCGCTGCCGGGACAGCTACCCATTTAAATGGCCTCCTACCCAAGGTCACCCCAGCCCGGCTGGTTGCTCAGCTTGGGCCGCCCCATCATCCCTACTAGGAGACGCTCTTCCCGTTTCCAGTCCTCCGGGACCATATACAGCCATCCAACGCAGTGTCAGGCCTTTAAGCACCGCTCCCCCACCCAAAGCATAAGGAAGTTGGCCCTATGCCGAGGAGCGGCTCTGCCGACTGCCCGTCAGGATAGATACCAGCTAGCAGGGTCCTACAAGCCACTGTAGGCGCTACCCCCCTGGCCACCAACGAGGCTTCGGCTTGGGAGTGCGACTCCTCGCCCCGCTGGCTTCGACATGCAGGCCGTGGCCCCCAGGCCAGCACTGGGTGTGCAAAGCCCAGTCGTCCTCCTGGGACGCTGGTTCTTCTTTCACCGGACAGAAGGAGCTTTACGTGATTTGCGTTATCACGGGCGGAGGCGTATCGACTGCATTCGACCGCCTTTGCGTTCAAAACACCGGCCCCTCGCCACTGGGGTGAGTGCGGAAGTTCGCTTTGTGTGTCTTAGATTCCAGGGGGTGCGGATTGTCAAGTCCATGGCCCCCAGTCTCTGTGCCGACGCGGGAATTGAATCCGAAAGTTTCGGCGTCCTCTGTGTGCTCCAATGTGTAATATCAGGGACATAACCCATCGGCTCGAGGTACAATGTGCATCACGCTACAAGCAGACGATTTAACCGTCGCGAGTAGGGGGACTCGGGACTGTCTGCCGAAGCAGAGAGTCCCTACCACATTTCGGCAGCGCCCCTATCGAGTGCCATCACACCGCAGGCCAGAGGGTGCCTACGCTTCCATCGGCAGGGCTACCGACTTCTGTCAGCGGATGCTAACGTCAATCGGACGAGCCCAGTCGACTACACTCCACATATCCC